TTTTGTAAAAGATTATATTAAATCAACTAAGTTAGTAGTATTTTTAGTCATTAAAATTGCAGAACAAGTCAATAAATGTCATTTTATCAGCCTCTAGTTCCACAGATAATTTTGCAATCATTTTATAAGAATTAATTTATCATAACTATCCAATACTCATTGTTTATAAAATAAAATTAGATGGAATTATACTGTATGAATATTCCAAAAGGAATGTGATTGCAATTTTGTACACTCTATTTCTTTGTAAATCAAGAAACACATCTTTCAAAATAAACCCAACCTTAATAAGTGAAAATGAGAAAATCAGATCATAAACTATAAACATGGTATCCACTAAGATACATACATAGAAAGCCATTATTATCAATAAAATATATTATAAATTAATGTAAGGTGAGTATATTGTTAAAAAATAGTTCTTCAGTCTGAAAAACACGTATTCTACATTTAGTATATTGCTTATAAAAAGTTAAATATATCTGAATGTAATAAGTAATGGTTTTTTTAATTCAAAAGTCCACAAACTTTATTTGGACAGTCTACAATGCATGCTATACAAAAAATAAACACTAAGTTAACTTTTAAACACCTTATTTCTCCAAATTAAATAAAAGACAAGATCTGCTAGTTTGTTACAGACAACATATTTCAGATATGAGTTTGACTTTGTAATATTTATTTAAAATTAGAGTAAGAAAACATATAACCATAAGAATAATTATGATGAAAGCATATGAAGATCATTTTTCGTTACCCTCCCAATGCATAATTTTAATTCTATAAGATATTGTGGGTTTCAAGACTCTCAAATTCACCCATCATCCGTTATACCCTTTAAAATTTCCCCAAGAAACCTTCTAAAGTTAAATTGAACAATTCTTGAATTATGACGGCATGCCTTCGATGTGGCTTTCCACAAGTCATTAGCATTCAGTAGATTCAGTCACAGTAAACTAGACATTATTTTGTGACATTTTAATAGATAAAATAAATCTTTTTTTCTCCTTCTCCTGGAATCTACTCTGGCTTTGTATCAGCTGCATATTTTAAAGGGGATGAATTCTATCTCCTACCTTCTCAGATAGCTTTGTCCGTACATCTGTATGTCTGACTTAACTGCTTGATCTGTTTCATCAGCTGTGAAACACATTCTAGCCTTTTAGATCACAAAAGTCCTTCTAACAGTGAGTGTTTTTTTCTCTGCCCACCTTCATAGCAAAGCTTCTTGAAAGCATTAAATAAACATGGAATCTAAACCTCCTAAACTCACACATAAAATCCTCAGTCCAGTCCTACCTAATTTCTCTTCCAACCACTTCAGCAAAGCTGTATGTAATAAGGACACTTCACATCACTTTTGATTGAGTTCCATTGACCTCTCAGCAGCATTTGAAGCGTCAAATGCAATTTACACCTTTTCTTCTTAGATACAGTTCTCTCTTAACTTCCAAGCTACTACAGCCTTGTGTTGTTCCAGTAGCTCTATAACATCTTGGTCTCATTGGGGCTGGTGTGGTTTCACTTCTTTTATAATATCACAGTCCCTTAGGACACAGTTCTTAACTCTCTACTCTTCAGTAACTCAAGAAGCACTCCTTGAACATCTCTGCTGTGCCAGTCACCCTTCTGTGTACTGGTAAAACATCTATGAATATCGCAGACATCATCTCCTTTTCATAGAGCCTGGGCATTGCTCATTGTGTGGTTTTGTCCTCACCCAGGCTTCAAATACCAAACATCTGGTAAGGTTGACAACATCATAATGTATGTTTCCAAGATATGGCTATCTTCTCATCTCCATACACACATCTAACTACTATTTGGCATTTCAAACTTAACAAATACCAAACTGATCCTATGTTTGTTCCTCATTTTCCAAATCCTGCTCCTCCTACAAGAATCTTCGTCTTGAGAAATGATGCCAACAATGTTCCAGTTGCCCAAGCGAGAAACCTAAAAGCGGTCAATATCTACTGAATCCAATCTGTTATACAGGCAGGGTTAATCTACATCTATGATGACTCTGGAGTTTATTTACTGTTTTCTTTTCCTACTGCCAACACTTTTTTCCCAAGCATTCCTGTTCATCCATCTCTGGCTTTTATCCTTATGAGCAAGAATAGTCTGTCTAAACGCATATCTATTCATTGAACTTCCCTGCTTCAACTGCTTTATTACTGCTTTTAGGATCTGTTTGAAAATCATTTACATGGTTTTCAGAAGACCTTGGATTCTCTGGGCTGCAGGTCTTTCTCTAAACTTTCTTTCTCTAAACTGTTTTCACACCTCCAGGTTCTCTTCCAGCCATGCTTTTTCGTGTTCCTAAAGTAGATCAATTTCTTTCTTCTCTCAGAGACTTCTTCCACATAAGACACTTTCCCTGAAAGGTTCATTCCCTACAACTTTATTTTTCTTTCCTTCTTTCTTTTTTGTGTGAGGAATATCGGTCCTGAGCTAACATCTATGCCAATCTCCCTCTATTTTATATGGGATGCCACCACAGTGTGGCTTGACAAGCAATGCTAGATCTGCGCACAGGATTCGAACCTGTGAACCCCAGGCCACCAAAGCAGAGCACAGGAACTTAACCACTACAACAGCAGGCCGGCCCCCCTACAACTTTCTGTTGGAAAGTCACTTTCTAAGGGAACACTTCCTTAATCCTCACCCTTCCCCCATTAGTTAGGTGCCCTTGCCAAACCCCCTCATGGCAGCATACTGCACCAGCACAGCTCTTAGCTGTAATTATTTTGTGGGTATTCTAACTCGTGTCTAATATGTCTCCCTACTAGCCTGTAACGTCTTTGAGAACAGGAGCCAGTTCTGTACTTTTCACAGATAATTCCTCTGTACTCCTTTCAACACTTTCACAAAGCAAGACCCCAATAAATAACTGGAATGAATGAACGGATGAAACTTAACATTGCAGAACAAGAAGAAACTAGCTTAGAGATGAGGAAATGGATATCAGAGAAGCTGAGCAACAGGAACAAAGCTGAAACTGTAAACCAGAATTCTGTCCATTTCCCTTCTAGGTCCTGCCCACCAGCTCATTCTCCGAAATTGAAACAAAAAATGTTTTTAGAGTAAATGCATCATAGCACATCTTACTCATTTTTCTGCCTTCAAATATACTGTCTTATTTATTTATCTATTTACCTTTCTGTCTATACTTATTGTCGGTTATTAACAACAATTTCTTATAAAAGTAGCAGGGACTCTGGGAGTATAACATCAAGTAGCCTGCCTGAAATCTTTTTTTCACAGTTTGTGTTTCATCAATAAAATGTTATTAAAATGTTGCCTTCTACTTAATAAAATATTCATTTTTATCTTGATAAAAATAATTATTTCCTCCAAATATATGAGCTACATTAAAAATTTAGGAGGATGGAGTACAGTGTTACAATTCTCCTTTGAAGATTCTGACTCAGATGAAGAATCATATTTATATCATGCTCCTGATATCTGCCTAGAGGATAATTACTACAAACATAATACACTATAGTTACACAGGCAGCTGTTGGTGGTTCTAACTCAGAGGGGCAATGAACTTGATAGTACATTCAACCATTCTTCTAATTTAGGCATATCATCTGGTAAGGGCATCAAACTTGTCATGTGACAAAGTAGCTATGACTTTGAACACATCCTTTAACCTCTCAAAATCACATCTGTAAACTGAGGATAATTCTTCCTTTTTCAACTCAGATTCAAGAAGAAAATGAGATAATAAATGCAGAAGTACTTGTAAATTTTTTTAAATGCCATCATAATATAAAATACCCACATTATTTCTAGATGCTCCCAACTTCCTAATTTCAAATTATAATTGGAACCACTGATTCATTAATATTAGCAATACAAAGCCATAATATCAATTACTTTTAAACCATATAACCAATAGGAAGTAATTTTAATAGAAAGGTTAATAGTATAAAGCTGCTTTCAATTAAAAAAAAAGATGTACGATATAACGAAATCATAATAATGAGATTAATATCAATTTGAAATTACAAGATGACTAAATAACATGTCTGAACTGACAAATTTTTTTTCTAGTCTCAAAATGTTGTGTAACGATAGTGATACTCTATTACGACTTATATAAACCATGCTTATAAATATGCCGTTCTTACCTCTCTTTATATATGTATGTACAAAGAGTATATATATATACATACACACACATATATACATATTTACATATGAAATTTACCAGTAAATATTAAATACGATATTTAAAGGAACAATAAGTGTTAAAATATGACCAATATGACAATTCACTAATAGAGTGAAGTATGATTATGAATCAGGATAAATTCTCACATCTTTATGTCTATAACGTGTATCTGAAAAAATTTTAATATCCCTCCTGTGGACTTTGATAATATCACTAGCATGGAGTGATCTCAGCACTGTTACGTAACAAAGGTAGAATCCACCAATGTACTGTGAATACCGATGTAGATTGTCTTGCAACGCTGTGAACCTCCTTGAAACTCTAGCTATCGTTCTTTCTAGGGCTACATCTGTGGTTTTTTTCTGCCTCGCTGTGCACTTGATTTATCTTTCCAAAATCAACTTGCTTGGTCAGGCATGGCTAGGTTCACAATTAGCTTTGGCCACATTTTGCCAGAAATGGAAGGACTAGCCCCCATGTGTTTGACAGAGAAGCTGTCTTCTTTGCAAAAGTTTTTTCTGATCTCAACAGAAATTTTTCATGTTGATTTTCAGCAGTCACTCCTTCCTTCCACAATCTTCCTCTGCTTATCTGCTGAAGTTCTCAGAGTGTATTTACAATTAACCAATACCCCACGGCAAGAGTGACTGAGAAATCTTGAGTAAGACATGTCACAATAATCACGACTAGAACCTAGAATTTATACTTCCTTCTATAAAATTCTGTTTTCAATATTAAGAAAAACTCCAGAGGGGTTATAAAAAGATGGTGTCATATTTATTTTCAGCCTAAGAAGGCATATAGTTTTGCTTACCTTTAATAATGTTGGGCTTTGGCGGCATGCTGAACTCATAGACTGTTGGTTCTGAATATCCCAATCTATTGGCAGCTGTAATTTGAACTTCATATCCCATTGTCCACTGCAGATGCTCCAAAATAATGTGGTCTTTATTTCCCTGTACTTTTTTCTCTAGCCACTGGTCTTCTTTATCTTTCTGTAAAGACAATAAAATTATATTTTGTAAATACCCACACACTAACGTTGTAATTTTTGAAAAGTTTAATTTATCTTGAAATGGAACAAATGGTTTTGTTAATATCAAAAAAAGGATATTTTCTCATCAACAAGAATAAATGACCTTGCTGTATCAATGAAGTGATTTCCAAGAACGTAGAATGTAGTTTTTTATATTAGCCAAAGAGTGATGATTTCATAATTATTCACTGATGATTTGGCAGATGATAATTCACCTCCATTAAGATTCCTTTTATTTCATATATGTTGGTTTCTGTTTGGCCGCTTTGTTGATTATTAACAATCATGTGAACAGGAAAAATGAAACATAATACATAGAAAAAGCCTAATATATTCATTAAAATAATTGTGAGATACTACTGGCTAAGGTTTGACGGAGAAAAAAACAAAGATAGAGTGTCTTGCAAATAAAGTGTGGATATTTTTTATAGATTTTAATTACCACTAGCATCTTTTATTACTATAATGTTTTAAATGCAATGACACAGCATACAAGAAAAATTATTACCTGTTAAATGGGTCATTAACATAAGAAAATAAAACATGTTATCCTATCCTTGAACATTCTACAATTAAATCCTATCTGATTCTTTTTCAAAAATATACATTTTGCACTACATGATATTTGAATTACCCTTTATTTGGAAAAAAATATTATGACTGCAATTAACACAGAAAAATAAATTGATATAATATTATGAATTAAACAATCCTAAGAACATTTAGCTGTGCCATATGTTAATCATTTAAATTCAGGTAAGTCCCTTAATCTCTCTGCCTTGTTTCCTTCAGCTCTAGTACAGAAAAGATGGTAGAAGGTGCCTTGTCAGCTTTCATGAGGGAACAATGAGGAAATCTAAGTAAATCGTGTATTCCAGGGGCTTAGGAATCATAATCACTTAACAAATGACAGCCATTATTAAGGAGAAACTATTTCTGTGATAACTGTATGGAAATGAAATGATTATTCTCCGGAATTATGTTTCTACTAATATATCATTGCAATTGCAAATCTTAATTTCCAAGAGGTGTAATTATAAATAGACTGTAGCATGACTATAGTGTTAGATAGATTGTTAGATAGATAGATAGATAGATAGAAAGATCAACCCCTTTTAACATCAGAGCTCAGCTCAATATTACTTTATGTTGAGACAATATTTTACTCCGTTTCTTTGACTATAAAGAACAGCAATGTGTTCTGAATCTACGCTGAAATTGAGGATTTATTTTCTAAAGTCAAATTGTGGAAGTTAAATTCGCGATAGCATTACATTGATGGCACTACAAATATCAAGTGTCCTTCAGCAGACAAGAAGACATTATAGTTTTGATAACATACTATTATTCTCTTTTCCTACTTAATTATTTTTGGATACATAGAGCTTTCATTACCAAGGAAATTTGTTGGCCTTTCTTTTTGTTTTGTTTTTACCTCTAAAACAGAAAATATTAGCACCCCTAATGAAGCTATGGGTTTTGGACAAGCACTTAAAGTTATCATATAAGCAAGAGGCATTTCCCTTGCTTTTCGAAACTTATAAATAGCTTAATTTGTTAGACTGCACTCTTGTCCAACACTATTTAAGGCATTAGGAGGTGTATTGAGGACATTGGAAAACTGAGCAGTTTGGACCAGAGAGTTTGTAACTTGTCTAAGTCATTAAATGACTAGTAGAGCTAAGAAAGGAACATAGGTGTGCTTTTGAAACGCTTAGGTCAGCTCTACCAAACAGCCATAATTTTCCTAACATTCCCTTTCTTCATCAATTCATTCATCAATTCTTCATTCAGTCTTTATTGGGTAGTGGGGTTGTTGTGGAACTACGAACACAGTAGTGAACAAGACAGATGAAATACCCTCCTCCTGGAGTTTACAAACCAGCACAGAAGAGAGACATGAGTTCTTTACAAACCAGACAGTGCCTTGGGAGCATGTAACAGGGATACCTAACAGAGTCCAGGGACCGTGAAGGTCTCCTCCGAGGAAGTGATGTCCCTCTTACTGGAAATAATAAACTTCAGCGCCAGTATTCTTTTCATTTGTCCTAACCTAGTTGATGAAGACAATGTGTGATTCCATCACAGAGGTTTAGATTCCAAAATAAGCACAATGATTGTAAACCTCAGTAAGAAGAACAGTCACTGAGAAAAGTACAAACAGACATTGTAGGCTTATTGTTTTAAGTAAATGTAAAAACGCTTCAAAGGTATTGACCAAAAAGATTAAGCTTAAAAAAAATCTCTATTCAAAAGTAGCCTTACATGACACATAATGTGATATAATATATATGTGTGTATCTATACATACATATATCAACAATAAAATTCATATAACGTATAAGTATTTGGTATATATTGTGTATACACACACAGATACAGGAAGGAAGGGGTGAGGAACACTGAAGGGTTAGACAAGGACACGGCTACACAAAGCAGTAGAGTTGCCCCTATAGCTTTCCCTTTACCCCAATCATTCAAACAGTTCAGTGTAACTATGATGGGGTTGGTGAGAGCAAAAATTTTTGTGGAAATCCAGTGTTGAGTTTTGCTTTGGATCTGAGTGAAGATGTGGGTGAAAGAGGCAGAAAATAAGCAATAGCTGAGACTTGGATTGCCCCAGGACTCAATTTCTTCTCAGAGGGATGGGTAGCCTTCATGTCCTTCAGGTGATCCGCCAAAAATCTCCTATTGCTGGGAATTGAGCATTTGAGGTGAAACTTCCTGACAAGCACAAGACATGCAGATAGTCTCTTCTGAATTACCAATCATCTAACACTTAATTGTTGAAGCTCTTAGCGTGATAAATTAAAAGCCCCTCCATCATTTTTGATAGTTGGACTGATGGCATAAGGAAGCAAAGGGAGTTCTAATATTTTACCCAATTTAAATCAACTTCATTTTCCAGTCAACATTAGACAAGGAGGATTTTTAATCTCCTAATTGCTATTCCTAGGGAATAGGAAAAAAATTAAGAGTGGGTGTTACTAAAAAATTAAAGTGGGTGTTACTCCCCTAGGCAGCGAAATTGCAATTATGCATTTGTAGAGTACCTAATTTACAGATTTTGAATGCCTAGGGAAAGATTTAAGATAATCTAGTTGCAAAATGCTCCCCTAGGTAACTTAATGAAATGATTTGCTGAATAAGGCTATTATTAATAAGCCAATTAAATGCTGAAGGACAGCTACTGAAAGAAAAATGGTCATTTTGCTTTGATATAGCTTCTCTTAGGCAATCCTTTTTGTTAGAAAAAAGATAGCAAGGCCATATGACAGTTAAAAGCACTCCTTAATAATTATTCTAAAGTCACAATATCAACACATAAAGAAATATTTCCTATGATCTGTTTAGAGAGGAGAGCAGAGGAAAGATGGAAGGGGTCTTGATTTTCCTATTTGTAGAGGGTTCCTTGACTGTTTCATTCATAACAAGAAGTAATCCACTAACTTGCTTTTCCAAGTCTCAGGGAACACATGGTCAACATCATTTGAGATGAAAACAGAATAATTATAAAAAGAGAGGACAATCTAGTTGAGCTCATACAAACTAGATGAATTTTAAGATTCTCGTGACTTGTGAGTGTTATGATTTAAGATTTTGTGTTTCCTTGTAAGGTAGTTCCTGGTTCCTGGATTTCCTGGTAGCATGGTTCAGCTATTCATTACTTGTATGACCTTACAGAACATCCCAGAATTCTCTAAAGCTCTGATTGCTACTCCGAATATGAGGGAGAGATGATTTAGCAATGTGGACAATTTATTCATATATATATATATATATATGCATATACACACACACATATATAAACACACACACACATATTCTATGTGATTTGGAAAAATGTAAGATGTGTGGAGGTTTTTAGCAGAGTTTAAATTCTCATCTCTTTTTTCAATTATCATAACTGATTCAAATTGCCTTTGTTCCACATTCTGAAGCTTGGCAAAATTTTGTAAACTGTACTCTGCTTAATCTATTCCGAGGCTCCATCACCCACATAGTTCCTTAGGGAAAAACAAAACCCAATTTTTCCTATTCATCACCTTATGTGTCCTCACAACCCATAAAAACTCACACAGTGCAAGTTTATTTCCCTTGTATTCATTATTTCTTGTATTTATTAATCTAGTTACAGGACTATTTATAATTGCACAACATAGATTAATTTATTTATCCATTGATTCATTGATGCATTTCTTCATTCAGACGACAAATAATCTATTTGATACCATAAATTCAAGGATGAATAAAGCTCATCCTCTTCACTAGCAGCAAAGAAAAATTACCAAAACTGCTGAGGACTCTTTAATGTCCATAGCTATTCATTATTTGAAAATATTTCAAAACTTAAACTGATGGCTTTAAATAAATTTCAATATACACACCTAAACAGAACTAACTATAAAATAAGTTCTCTCAACAACAAAAACTCAGTTTCCCTTATTTATTATGTCAATACCCTTTTCAAAATTACCTCTTCTTTTCCTATGGCCATTGAGATACAACCTCTTGGACTCCAAATAGCTTAATAAGGTTAATTAAGACGTAGAAACGGATGTTAGAGCACTGCTGCTAGTCTCTTAAAGTACCTTCCTCACAATTAATTTTAAGCTACCAGATTTCTTTAGTCCTTCTTAGCTCAGGAAACTTATTTAACGTACCAACACTAAGCAATAGTTATGATCCCATAGCTATCATCGAATTAGAGAGAAAACTGAAAAACTCACGGAATCATACAAAAAACTATTCATTAAATTATATGGAGTTATATTGACAGGACCATACAAAGTAGCTGCTGTACATAAAATACCTTCTTTCATTTTTTCATATACATTATGAGATTGTTTGTCTTTATTCTCCAAGTATATGGTTTAATCTTACTGACATTGTTAGAGATGCAAATTTTTACAGGTCCATAGAGACATCTAATTTTGCTTGCATTACTCTAGTTCTGTTCTAATAAATTCTGTCTTCCTAATGGGTGACTGAACAAAGCCATGTGCTCTATCTACTACAGGATAACGCAGAATAACGTCTTTCCTGGTTCATAATCTATAGGAAGTTAGACATTCTCTATGCTAGGATATGATTAGTCTTATTCCCAGTGAAATGCAGGTTTAAACAGTTAGATTTAGTGTCTATGACAAATCAACGCTCATATAAGGAATACATTGCCTCAACTTTGTTTTTCCTAAATTATAAAACACATAGTCCTGTGCACACAGATGCTGAAAGATAGGATCAAAGAAATAATCAAGTGAAAATCAGAAGGGCGTTTCTTACTTTCTGGATTCCCCATCTATTTTCTTTCCATAGAAGTTATCTAATTAAAAAATGCATTGCATATGGCTAAATAATTTTTTCGAGTTATTCAGTTGTACTTTAGTCCACTGTGGAATTGATGCAGTTTGAGAAACTAACAGCTAAAGTGGTTTGGAATCATACAAAGAGAACAGACAATTAAAAATCTTTTTGAAATAGTTATTTTAATACAAGTGCAAATATCAAGTCAATTGCTGCTATAAATATTTAGCCACCAAATCTTCTTGAACATCTAAGTTTTTAAATGTGAAGAAGTAATATGTTGAGAAAAAAAAATAGAGAAAATTATTCCTTCCCAAGTTCAGCTACTGTTCAACACATTAATACAACCTCATATGGAATCATGGCACTTCCAACTGGACCTGCATAGCGTGATGTCTGCAGGATGGAAGAGAAAGGAGGGGAAGAAAAAAAGATAGAGATATGGAGATAAATGCTGGAATAGAAGGCATGCCATTAAATAACATGATAAAGATAAAGTGGATCAGAATGCCTATATTTGGAGGTACAGGAGCTAGGCAGGTGAGATGGGAGAGTGGTTGAGGGGTCAATATAACCTTCACAGGCAGATTTCAATTCAACCCTGACTGCTCCAAAACTGTGTTTAGACTCTAAAGTCTTACATTCTGATATCTATTCTCCATTCTACCAAGTCACCCAAATTCTCTAAGGTTCAGTTTGCCCATTAAAAATGGGCCACTTCATGTTTTATTAATTATAATTTTTTTAATGTTTTCAAAAGTGAGCAATGCCTTTCTTGCAGTACAAAGGGTGGAAAGGAATTACTTTTACAAATCTTGCCATAGGAGTGTAAATTTCCACAGTTAAAACAGTGTGCTCTTTTAAAATGCTGGGAGTTCTGAAAGTAACATAGTAATTGATTATCAGTCAACTATAGCTATGTTTGAATTATGCAACCAATCGTTTTCATTATGATAAACCAAATCTGCTGATGCCTTGATCTTGGAATTCCAGCCTCCAGACCTGTGAGAAAATAAATTTCTCTTGTTTAAGCTACCTAGTCTGTGGCATTTTATTATGGAAGTCCTAGTGACTAACACAGTCATTATAATAAAGATAATTACACTAACAGTTGTGACACACCCGGTTGTTTAGCTGATCCAGCTCCCCAATATAACCACCATTCTTTTAGTGGTGGTCAGGAGGCATAATTCTATCTAATGACACATAATTTAATTCTGCTTCATGGGGCTTTGGAAAACTTGTACTGTATCACTGAAAAAAGACAAATTCAGCTTAAATAGTCTATGGCTTCTTTTATTCTTTCCATTCTCTTCACATTCTGAAAGTGGACGTGAAGCCACCATCTTAAGAACACAAGATAATCTATATGAGGACAAAAGTCAACATGCCAAGCAGGAAAGAACATAAAGAAAAATGATTTGGATGCCCGATTATATTGTTGAGATGCTTCCTTAGCCCTGGACTGTCTAATATGTAAATTTCTTTTAATGTGAGAAAAAACTTCTTGGGTTAAGCCCCTCTAGTCAGGTTTTGTGCTACCTGCAGTCCAAAAGTACTTCCTAACAGATACACAGCTTATATTCATTTTATGAATAAAATCTATGTGAAAATTTCTGATCACTTTCTGGAAATAAGATATTAGTGGCTTTTTGAGTGAGTTTGTAATGTTATCTCTTGAATTTGTATTAAATATTTTGAGAAAGGTGCATGCATGCTGTGGGCAGCCATGTTCTTATTAGTTTCTGAACTTTAGTTTTGGATAACTGGAAATAGAAACATAGCTGAAATAGTCAAAGCACTCCTAAAATATACATGCCATATTAATAAAAGCCACTAAAAAAAGAGATAAAGATAAAATAGAAAATAATAAATATTTTCTATCTTCAATTGAAATCAATGATTCCTGTTGAAGTCAATATAGCATTTGGGCTATTTCTACCTTCAAGTCTTTAAAAAGGACAAGTCAAGCATAGCTTTTAGTTTTAAGTAGAAATTATACAAATAGAGGATATTTTAAACATATTCCTATAACTAGTGTTTGCATTTCAGTGTTCATCATGGGATTTTGGGGGTTTCCCTAAGAATTCTTACCATCCACCCCTATTTTGTACCATAAACTCTTCTGGATGCAAGTATAGGTTACCGTCTGCACGAAAGGTCTGTTCTCCTAGTCCAACTCATGAATTCAGTTCAGGCCTATGACCCTTAGAGGGAGATTCTTTCCCTTCCAAAGAGTTGCCAGCTGGGCAAATAAAAATGGCCAAGAAAGCTGGCTTGAGTAGCATGAGACTATAGATTCACAGAGAGACCAGTGAGTCTTTAAGAGTTATTTTCGGGTAGAGGCATGAGGTCTCCAGAGAGGAGCCTCTGAAAGACACACACAGATGCTCATCGTTGCTGGCCTGAAATCTGTGACAAAGAGGAGTCCTGGGAAATGAGTAGTAACATTAAATTTAAAAGATTGAACTGATGTCTAAAATTAATTATTGAAGTATGCTATTTTAAATCAATTACCCTTTTCTACTGCCCCTCAGAACTTAAATGTTTGAATTTGAAAGCAACAATATCATAATTTAGAAAACTGTGGATTTGTGGGAAAATAGTTAAAATTCATGTACATATCGTTAAGGAGCAATTTCTTAAAATATTACTTGCTAAAATATAATAATCCTGGAAAGTATTAATAAATGTTCAGTAAACATAAACATAAAAATGACTCTGTACCATGGGGATAATCATAAACACTAGTAAATAAACCACACAAAATTTAATTTAAAATTATGCTTCACTTTTAACATATTCCACAGTAGACACAAATACAAGGCGGGACTTATGGCAAATTTGTTAGGAGAAATCACTGCCACTGGGCTTTCGCATCATTTTCACCCAAAGGCAAAGTCCATTAGGCCACTTCATTTATCACTCTGCAACCAGGGGACACCTTTCATCCTCTACACATATGAAAAGCTCCAAAGAAGCTCTTTCTTGTCCAAAGTCCCATACTATCGAGTGCTAATTAAACCTGAGAAACACTATTTCCTCTTCCTCAAGTTCAATGTGGCCATTCATTGTTAAATGTTAATTAAAGTAACTTATTTGAGGTGTGATTTGCTAAGAATCCTACCTACAGTAACTAAAATTGAGAAGAGGACTTAGCTTGAAGTTACTAATATCGAGCATAATAGAAAGCGAAAATATCCTGCTAAACTTGTCAGAAAAACAGGGAAAATGGTTTCCCATTTCTGAAATGTTATTATGACCCATTTCACACTTAGAACACAAGATGAAAACCATAGGATTATTTTGAAGATTTATGCTTAGATTTTACCAAAAAAAAAAAGTGAGCAATAACAATTTATAATGATAAATTTCAGCAATGGAAAATTAGCTTTTGAATTCCTATGAGTACGTTTATTATGGTTGCTATTTAATATACATTCACTCCTGACATGTCTATGGACTCAATGCAAATTTAATGCAGTTGGAAAACACTTTGTAGAAAATGATAATAAATGGAGTACTTACACTTCTATATTTCACGATATATTCCAAAATAGGGGCTCCTCCATCGTCCTGTTTGGTAATACTGAGTTTAAAGCTCTTCCCACTGCTTGGCTGCCCATGTATGGATGGAGGACTCGGTTCACCTAAATACACAATACAACATTCTTGATATTTGCACACACCTCAGATACCTAGAGAAACTGCACGTCAATAAAAACAACAGCACATGTAATCGAAATATATGATGTTATCCTGGATTTACTATTGCTATTTGCCCTTTGTTGTGATATAACCTCTGATTCTCTTTTTCCCCACACAAGAAACAGCAGCATTCATAAATCTAGAAGTATCATGCCAAAATTGTGAAACCTCAGGACCAGATGCATTATTTATAGTGATGTGCAAATGCCCTGAGAATAGTACTGCATTATATGTGTTAAATTTTATTTCTCTTATTAATAGTGTGTAATTCTATTTAGTCTATTAATGTAAATTTATTTTGTAAATATGTGTTAATATAAGCATATTAAGGCATCAAACTCTATGGAATATATACCTACCAGGAAAGATGATGGCTTAGCAATTAGTTATCTATTTTAATGAGCATTTTCCTAAATAGATGAAGATTTGAATAAAGAAATTTTAGTATCTAATCTATAGACATGTGCTTCAATATCTTTTCTTTCTTCTACCTTCATGAACATATTTGTCTTTGATGTTATTCTTCACATGGCGATGGTCTTATAACACAGATGCCTACAATATTTTTAATACGAACAGGGACTGCCTAAAGTGTAAGAGTTTTATATGAGAAGAATGCCATCACTGCTTGGCAACTTGGAATGGGAGCTCCCTACTGTGAGTTACTTATGGGCATGGAATGCACTGGAATCTTCTGCCTCCGTTTCCTCCAATTCCCTATGGATGTGGATATAGATATGGACATGCTAACACTAAGGAACTCTCAGGGGCCATGCTTTAGTTTGTAAGCTTCCAGAAACTTGGAATACAGTACCTGGTCTACTCAGAGGAATGTCAAGACAGACAAAGTAAACAGACTAGAGTAAAGAGAAGTGCATGCCACTAGACCTGGAGCAAACCAAATCTAGGGTTTTTCTCAGAAAGTTACCTTCATTTCTAATATGATGTTTATAACTTTAAGCAAATGAGTAGTTTATTTGAGAAAAGGCAAGTCATTAAAGAAATATGACAATTTGGTGTGTTGGCATGCAAGTAAATAGTAAAATAGCCTTGTAGGGTACAGCCATATAGAAACAAAGTAAACAAAGGAATTATAGTCATTAAAGTCAATTAAATTAGCATGCAGATATAATGACATGAGGTGATGCATGTGCTACTATTATATTTTTGATAAATGAATTAAAACTTCTGTAAAAACCAGTACAATAATTTCTTAAAAGGATTTAATAAGAGATTATGGGAAAATCTAAATATTGTAAAATGGATTTTATATTCAGGTGGTTTTGTATCATTTCTAAGTTGAATTTTAGAATTTACACATTGTACAGTATAAATTCATTTAATAATATTGTATTCATATTGTTTTTAATAATAGCATTTGGAGATAATTATAAACCAGAAACTGTATCTTCAGTAACAATTGTTTTAACATACACATTTAAAATATTTAAGCCTACATTTAACCTTTGTGATTCCACTACAATTGGTACTTTCTTTGAAAATAAAATAAAGTTCAGAACAAATGTAGATTCCATCAGAGAAACTGATTAAAATAATGGTTTCTATTAGTTACAAGAGAATGTTTATGAATAGTAACAATATAAATAATCAAACAGTAATAATGGATAGTTATGACATATTAAGTACTTTGTATATATTAGCTCATTTAAACTTCAAAAATATCCTGAGAAGCAGCTAAAGAACGTACTTATTATTAACAAACCCAGTGTTCCAACTCTCAAAGTGCTCACTGTCTAGGACAGAGGTCTGAAAGTCAACAAAAGTACAATAAGCAATTAAAAGTGTTATAATTTAAAAGGGAAAGCAAAAAAAAGAAAGAGTAAGAGAGATATTTTACGGTTGAAACACCTAGAGTGGGGTCTATGAATGAATGAAGGAAAGTCTGCCTAAATGAAAGAGGAAATAAAGTTGGAGGGGTTAGACAAGGTCTTATGGTAGAGATGATGCCTTCACTGGGGACTGATGTGCAGTGACCCTGGAGATTATAAAAAGGAGAGAAATCGAGACAGAATGCACAGTACTTTGAGGAAAGAAAGCATTACCAAACTTTTATTCAGCCTACTGAGGCAGAGAGCATGTGACAGCTGAGGGACGAGGTGTGCGGATGGAAGGCAGGTAAATGTGTACGTGGATGGAAAGTGGGAAGATGAAGGGTATGGTTGTTGAGGATTACAAGCAGAGAAGGGCTAAGTCTCTAAGTTTTTATAAAGTCACTCTAGAATCATTTTAGTCTGGAGATAGATCATGAGTCAAGAAGTTCTTTCAGTCTTCCTGATGAAAAATAATGCAGGACTGACAAAGACACTGGCCTCGGGAATAGAGAAAAGGGAACACATCTGACATTTGATGAGAACCAACAGAAAGGAATAGTTCACAAATTAGAGTGAGACCACTTATTGTGGCCAATTTGACTGTCCCAATATGTGCATATAACAGGCAGGGTTATGCATAGATTTTATAACAGCGTTTGTTAAGTCACAGTCAAATTTTCTCACATTTTTAAACAATTTATTCAACATAAAGGAAATGCAAGTCTTTTAAAATTTATCTTAGCTTCACGTAAAGCCAATTTGCTTAGATTATTCCAAAACAGGATAGCAACAAGAACAGGCTACAACAGCCCTTCTTCTGCAGTCACCAATGTAATGAATTAATTTAGTGGTGCCTTTTCCTCACACTTAGGACCTACATAATTTACAGGATAAAGGAAAGAGTTCCGACTCATCAAAAGAGTAGAATATCGGATGTGTTACACGGACACTTTTCTACTCTTGCACAGAATATAATCTGAGTACTACAATCCAATTAAGCAGACTATGAATAAATAGGACACCTTCCTGTTCAGGACACTTTTCCTGAGAACAATTTTCCTATATATATTGTAGTGTACCTTTTCTTTTTTCCCTGACTTCAGAGCTAAATTCTTTTTATAAATCTGAGATGACACTATCTTCAGAAACCCTTCAACAAAGACATAATTCACTTCCCCAAAGTGTTGAACCATCTCCCTGCATTTTAAAATCCCATTTCAACTTGCAAGTAAAGAGAATAGTAAGAGAAAACACAACAGAGAGGATCACTTACGAACTGGTAATGTCTGGAAGATTTCTATTTTACTGTAGTCTCCTTGCCCTTTTCCATTTACAGCTGCAACCCTGATTTCATAAGTTGTATTTGGTTCCAGGTTGCTCAAAACAACCATTGCTAGAAAAAAGATGTATATGCCTATAATTAATGCATCTTAATAAGTAAAACAAATCAAACTACTACAATGCAGAGTGAATAATTTCACTGTAAGTCTTTCCATGAGACACACACAAAAAATAGAAAATACGTATAAGAAGAACGATTTGTGAACAGTCCTCTTCCTTACCTCGATTTTAGTGCTCTAACCCCATGCAGTGACTTTCAAAGAATTGTTTCCTCTGTGATACTTACACTCACAAAGTAGAAAGTAAAATGCTTTCTTACTTTTCTTTTAACATTCAGTAAATGAGAACAATTTAAATAAATATATGCATCCACTTATTTATTTAAAAAATATATTTATTATATACAAAATATAATATATTTTGTCCACTTTAAATGGATTATTTCTATAGAATTTAATGTGGATATGGAATTCAATATAATTCAATATATGGAACTCTGGCCTCCAGCCTACAGTGCTTCAGTCCTGTTAAATAAGTGTCACAGTTGACTCTACAGCAAAAGTGGATCATTTATTCGATAATCTTAAATCAAAATCCAATCATCTTCAATGCTAGCTTCAAGGTTGTCATCTCTTATATTTTCTCTCTGAATTTCTTCTCATTTATATACTGTACCAGACATGGACTCAACATAACACAAAGGAGAAGAAAGAATCTGAAAACGTACAGAGGGGTAAAGCTTATTAGAAACATCTCCTGGGTCATGTCAACTTCTTTAATTTGCCAGACAATTTTGGATACAATTGTAGACTTCAAAATATTACATCTTTACAAATTCCTCTGATGAAGCTAATGAAAATCCATAATCACCTATATCTTTACTGTTTTTGCTAAACAGAGCAAAAATTAGTGGAAATGGTAAAGTCTTGATGAACAAGCAAAATGCAGTTATGTCTGGCTTATGTAATAACTCCAAGTCAACTGATCAATTCATAATAGATGAAGATATAAGCAATCAGAAAATGAAAGATTAAACCATAGGTAACCAGGATCATATTTGTAGGGGTATTGTTTTACAATGAACATGACTGAAGATGGTATACATTCAATAAAATTGCAATAGAATTTATTAACATATTTCTGATAATTAATTACATTGTAATATAGATTCACTAGATAACATTTTTCATTCTACACAGTGCGAATATACTTCAATTTATTTTGATACTTCATTGTATTTGATTCTTTTCCTCAATACTCATTACTATGACTTCTGTTTAGATTTTTTATTATAACTATTTAATCATCATTGAATATCTTATTAAATTAAAGCAAAGAAAAAAATTGCTTTATGCACTGTAGAGATATTTTCTGTCTAAAATGAAGAATTTAAAAAAATGAAAATCATATAAATATTTTTACATAAATTTAGTATATTACCATATGTACCAGATAAACATTAGTGGCAAAGACATATATTCCAGGTATCAATCAGACCTTATTTCATCCAGTACAGATGTTCTAAAGTGAGCAGAAAGGATAAATTTCTAACTGGAAAAATTTACACTTGTATTTCTCAGTTTCTCTACCTTTTAAGAAAACTGAACTTGCTTTTGAGAGTGCATCGTCTTGTCAAAGCCTCACATGAAAACACATGGTGTCAGAGTTAAGGGAGGACAACTGGGAACAGATTGAATTGCAGGGAAATCCAACTGATTTGAAGCTACAACGATGAATGGCAAAACCAAGGCTTGAATTTAACTCTTTCTGACAGGTTAAAAACCCATGAGCTTTTCCAGGAAACTCAAACCCAGGTAGTTGGTGATCTAGAGTCAGCGTATACATAACACCAGCCCAAGAAAAAGAATACAGCTATAATGGAGAGAAAGTTAGTGCATAGATGGATCTGGTCATGCTGATTATGCAAAAGGAGGAGGGAATCAAACTAGGAGCTAGGCAGAGAAAATGTTAAGAAGTTGGACTACTGTCCTTAAGGGAGAAGGTTTCTGCTCAAGGTCAGCATAACAAGGAATTCAAGTGTTCAAAATTCATTATATTTTATCAATTTAATCATTTAATAAATATAACAAATTTAAAACCAAAGTGAGCTAGGCCTACTGTTCTGCAGAGATTAAAGCTTTATAAAAGCACTTTTATTTTTCAAGGTTTATAATGAAAATGATTAGGCCCTTGGAAAATCAATATTGTCATGGTGCAGTCAATGTCCAATATGATGTCATGGAACAGTTAGTGTTTGATTATCCTCTTCTTTACCCTAAAGGAGAATGACGTGATGTAGCATGGGGACATATGAGAGACTCATGCAGGAACCAGTCTGACTACAATAACCTTCCTAATATGACACTGTAGTGATAAATGCTTTAGACTCATGAAAGAAGTCATGTAGCTCTGAGCCTCATTTTGCCATTGGCTGAGATACAACCAAGTGTTAGGGCTGAGTTGATCTCTCAACTTCTAAACAAAGATACCTTCATTAAATGTCACAGAAACAAAAGTATAAAAATAAGTCGATTGAAGGTATGGATAAAAATTTGTGATCTGTGAAATAATCACCACTATGCATCAATTATCTAAGCAAATGGGGACATCACGTGCAGACTATGAGATAATGCAAAAATAATTGATAGTCCAAAATTCCAACACCTCCGACTCCATGTTCAGTGGCAAAATACTCTATGTTTATTGGCAAATATAGTGTTAGTGATATTTACTTAACAAATGTTAACATTTACAGATAATCTATATAGAGAGTATGCTACACTATATGAGAACATGCCATAGATGCTTTTACTACTGCTGACAACTTAGGCATGTGATATGCCTCTCCATATTTCTATGATGTAAAGAAACAGTTGCTATCATCATTCTAAGATTGTAAATCAGCTGTGTAGATGACAACAACTGGTAATACTTATATTCAACTGTCTTGATACAATTAAACAAGAAAAGCAATAGAATTTAAAGCACACAATTTAAATTGTAAATAATATTCTCCATAAGTCAGAAGTATAGAGATCACACTCTTCATTTTTTTAGGTTAAAAATGGATAACAGTAGAGCTATTGAAGTATCAGAGCATATCAAATCAGGGAAAATCGAGGCTATTACTTAGATTAAAAAAACAACGATCCACCGCTCCTTCTGCCCCCAAAAGCAACTCCACGCTTTACTTGAATGATCTGAGTATTTCCTTCTCGCATGGACTGGCAGCTTTTTCTTCCTCTAACATTTCGTAAGGATGGTGAGGAGCTTTGAGTGTCCCGTTACCTCTACCAAGGGGAAACCTATTTCTTTAATTACATTATGATCAATTCAGAATCGATTTTCCCCACGTTCCCGCACATTTTTCTCTTCTCAGTGTCAAGATCTCCCCTTTGGTGACTGAGTTTCAGCGCACAGCAGTTTGTGGAGGAGAGGAGCAGAGGCTAAATGATGGCTGAACTGCTGTTACAATGCTGGGCTAAAACACTCAAGGGCAAAGCGGATGAGGAGGAGGCCTTACAGAGGACTTCCAAATGACAGGGAGAGGCACGAAGTAAGCCTATTGATGCAAGTTCTGCAAAGTTTATATGCAAGAAGTCAGTCTGTTTTTCAGTTCTGATTCTAAAGGTTTTGGTACAATAACCCTTATTATGAGGCTTATTAACATTGTGTGAACATAAAGATTATTGTGTGAAATAGAAAGAACTCCATAAATTGGGACCAATTTAAAGAGAAGGAAAGGAAAAGATTCGGGGGAGGCAAAGCCTGGATGTGTAATTTGCCTTGCCTTTCTTAAAGACGAGGATATATACATTAAATCATCCATAATTTGCTGGCATATTACCAAACATAGGGTTTTTGAATACCCAAGGTAGAGCTTGAAAGCAAACCACCACTTGAAAAACGAAAGGCTGTGTATCCTATAATAGAGCCATGCCTCAAATTATAAAGTTAGTTAATGGAGGACTTTCTTTGCCCAAATGTGCCCATACAATACAGAAGAAAAGAGCCACAAACTGAGGTGTGGGCTGGGTTCTCTCCCTATAATTTATTAGAAATTCAAACTCACAAATTAGGTGAAAGTAGATCTAGATTACAAATCACTAAAAGGTCTTTAAGGACAAATGGCATCAATTAAGGTATTTTATAGTTACACTCAGTCAGCACAATTTGGAAATCATAATGCAATTCTTCTGAAAATTATAAACAATCATGAATTTTTCTTAGACATGCTAACAGGCATAGTTTCTATAAAGAATCCGATTTCCCTCACTGATTGAATGTTTCTGCTGGATTTAAATATAACGGAGTTTCGTAAATGACAATTTTGTCACCTGGCTATAAATGCAAAAAGTACAGCAAAATATTGAAATACATGAAAACAGTGGCATTTAAACTGGTGAATGATAGCAAAATAGTAACTTTTTACATTATTTTTACAAGTATGGAAATGATATTGGAAGTTGTATTCTCCCTTTTAAAAGGGAATCAGACTTTACTAAAGGTTATTGAACGAAATAAGGTTTTGTTTGTTCAGATAATAATTGTAAATCCCTTCCCTTTGGCTGTCAAGAATCTACAGAATATTTATGATCCCTGGAGCAAAATAAATTATGTATTTGCAAACTAATTAGGCTGAGTGAAATTCTAAGGTGAGATTAAATTTAGCCATGCTCTCTTCTCTCTCTCAAACCCCAGAACTTTCTGTGGGTTTTTCCTGCCATTCACTGTAAGCAGATAGGCACTCCCTTGACATAGAACTGCTGTATCATCTGCCTCAAATCAGACTGTTCAGGCTGTCAAGAACTGGGAAACACGTCCGACGGCTATGAGAAATCACAAAGCGTGGCTAGGATAGAACTGATCACTCAAACCTACACTTGCTGTTAATCTCCTCAGACAAATCTGAAGATATAATGAAATCCCTGAAGTTCCTCATCTAAGATTCACCTTTTGTTCTCTAAACAATTAAAACAAGCCAATGAAAACCTTTTTTATTTTTTTCTTTTTCCGAGAGAGGGAATTCTGATTCCCTTCTGAAAGAGTTCT